ATTCACCCCTCTGCATGCGTTCACAGGGGTCAGAACTGATGATTGTGATTGAGCTTGCTCCAGATAGTGTGCACAGGCCAAGCAGAAAGACGGATTTTCCAGTCTGTGTTGTGTGGTGTCTGCGTGGACCCTGCCTGAGGCTTGTTGTTAGCAATTTAGGAACATTTGCAGTGTCTCCCCCACTTCTCCTTGACAGGAGCCCAGAGTGCCACCGATTGGTTTCTGGGGCATCTCTTCAGCGCTTTATCAGACCTGCAGGCTTCTCAGCACTGTCCCCAGATTACAGTTTAGGGATGGGGAGCTTGACTGACAGGCCTTGGCCTCGGCCGTCCCGGGGGAGTGGGGGGAGGGAGGGGGATTTGTAATGGCTGCACTGACTCGTACTTCTCTTACAATTTTCTCCAGGCTGGTTTCAGACTGTCAGGCTGAGAGAAAGCTCTCTCTGCATAATTCATTAGATCTCTTTCTTTTTCACTCTTGGCTGCTATGTGGCAGGCGCCGTAGCCCCATTGTTCAAGAAGAAGGAGTAATAGAGCTTGTCACAATATGTTAACATAGTTTATTGTTCACAGCAACAGTTTGGAAACAATTTAACTTCCTTTGAAAAAGGCGATTGTGCTTCTCCAGTGTAGAATAATTATGAAGGAAACAGAATATTCAGATAGCTACTAGGAAAAAAACACCAATTAACACTTGCCACTTTTAATTTATAATTGGCCAACAACATAAAATGAATTCATTAATTATCATCATAACTACGATACCAATAAACAACTTTGGCCAGTGAACCAAAACAGAAAAACAGCTTTACAGGTTGCTTCTACACAACGCATTGTTTTGCAGCCAATTATCCCAGCATTGCCTGCATATGACACATACACAGGCCTGTCCTTTTGAAGCATGTATACTGTCTCTGGTCATGATACAGCTGGCATTTATTTCTTGGAAATCTGCAAAGAAGAATATCACATAGTTGATGCTACATGACATTCCCTTTCACAGAATATGACTATACAAGCACATCCTCCAGCACACAATCCTGCATGTTGAAGCCAGAGGACAACTCCTGTCACTGTTGCTGTAAAGAGCTCGTTGGGAGAGACTTTATATGAAACTGGGCCAATGCAGAATTATGTTGACCTGTAAAACACCCAGCATGGATAGAATATGCCAAACACCTCCACAAATGTGTTGACAATGGTGCTGTTCTGTGCCGTCTCTGTGTTGGTATGATTTTGTTTATGAAACGATTCAAGAAATGGAATGTTTAAATGCAGGCAATTTCAGTTTGACTTTACAATCACAATGTACAGATAAAATAAAAAGTTATACATTTTAAATAAAGCTAATTTTGTTTACTGGCTTTTATGCAAAATGTTCAATATCAGCCTACGAATAACTAATGATAGGACACAACTAAACGCAGAGCGGCCGCAGGTGTCATTGTCACAATAGAAGAAAATCTAAAAAGAAATAATCATGTCGGTATAAAAGTATAAAATAGTACTGTAATGGGCCATTCCTGCATTACAGGATGTTTTTGCCAACTCTCTGTAGTCTGTTTCACATCATTTTGGACAGCTCTTTTATCATCATACTGAGCTGCTATAGGTAGGAAGTAAGTAAAAAGATGAATTGAATTGACCATGAGCCTTGCTTTGTTTGACAGAACATAAATAACGTCAAAAACAACAAAAATGACCAAGAGAATATTTTGTGTGTTTAACATGCAGAAAATAGAAGCAAGAAATTGCATATTTATATGAAAGTGAGCACAACTTATTTCAAGTACTGTATATACCCTAATATTAGTATGCTGATGCTACTTTGCAAAGCACTCTTGACTGCTCATACAAAGTTATGGATTACCTTTGCAGAATTAAAAGGTTGTTCTGTGTCGTTTAATGCTGAATATGAAAGAATGAGTCTTAGAAGTTTTGCCAAATAAATCTTAGCCATGCCAGTCATATCCCAAAACAGTCAGAATTAAAGGAAAACATTAAGAATACAAAAAAAAGCAGGAAACAAAATGATATGAATGCTGATGAATTGCCCAACAAGCAGTGCTAGTGTTGATTCTAGGCTCAGTAACAACAACACCATGTCCTGAAATCAAATGTAACTCCAAAGGGACTAAACCCTTCAATGTTCTATACTACTTCCACTAACTAACCCTGTGTTTGACAGAGGATGCTGAGCTTGTGTTTCACGGTTCACATGGGCTGCTAAAATCCTGGTTGTCTGCAACTGCAGAAGCAGCACACATCATTGGGCGAAGGCATGGTGCATCCTCGCCTGGACAGGTCAGGGCTGACACATAAAGAAAGACAACCATTCCCATTCACAGGCAACTTAGATTCATCAATTAACCTATCGTCAAAGGAAAATGTGGATATTTTATTATGTTGTTTTCTGTGCTTTTATATGCTGCTTATTCCATACTCCACTATCTCCACTCGCAGGTACGCACATGCACTCACCTCTACATCTAAAACAAGGACCTCAATGGAAATGAGTCCTCTGACTTTGTTATACTTTTTCTTTTAATCATTCATGTACGTTGGCGTTCTCCAGATCACTGCTGTGGTTACATGTTTTATGTGATCCTGTCCAAAAACATGTTTAAGCTGATATTTTGTTTTCTTAATTTGAATGGGTTTGGTCCCATTTGTTCAGCTGCAGCATAAAGTTTAACGAGTCACCTTTGAAACCTGCAGTCCAATGATGAAATATTCATGACGTATTAGTTAATCAGGCTCCGCATTGTCACGGAATTTAAGCTCTTACCAACTTAAGTGATAGTAATAAGATGATTTAATACCTCAATTATGGAGTCTTATTTTGATAGACAAGTTATTTAATTACAATACAACACAAAAAACAGCCACTTTGAATATCTCCTCTCACTGGTTTACAGATAAATTAAATAGTTGCGTTTTCAAATTTAGAAAATACACAACTCACTTCCTTTAAAACCTCAATAATCAACTTGACAATGCATGAAATGATTTCTTCTCACCAAAAGTGTCTGCCCGTTCAATAGAAATAAATGGAAGCATAGAAAAGCTGTGTGTGTTTTCTCTCTCAAATAAACATATTCAATCCTGGTCTATTTTGGAAAATATGCACGAGTTGCTAAAGCTTAATCTCGGCTCACTGTGGGCAGCTGGTAGAACAGCCCCTTATTAGAGTGGAGGTCTTACAGTCAAACCTGTCAAAATGAGTCAACAGTACCACCTGCTGGGCAACATCGATATCATTCTAAGACTTACTAGAGTTAGAAATAAGGAAACTTATGACTCCTTCAAAATGTTAAGCTTATAATACTGCACATTAGTCTCAATATGATAATTGTGACCACGTCCTCCAGCAGTACAAACATACAAAGTGTTTTAAAGGAATGAAAATCTAAAAGACAATTTTAGAAAGAAAGACAAAGTTCAGTTCCTCTTTACTTTGTTCTTTATTACACATTAAATAGGAGTGGTGAGATTCATGGCAAAAAATAGACTCGTATGAGATCAGACCACCACTCTACACTTGCCCACAACAGGTGTGTTGTAAAGTGGTCATTCATTCACTTTCCTAGACCTGGACCCAGTCACACTCTCTAATCACATACACAGAGTGGAGAGAACCTCCATTAAAGCAACATTCATTTAGACACACCAACAACATGAAGCACAATTTACAAAATATGCACCTTTCAGTATCACAACTATACAAAGGTTGTTAAAATATGATCCAGGTACAAATGATACATTTCAGAAATTAGCTGTTGGCACGCAATCAAAGGAAGAGGAACATTTCAAACATTTCAGTAAAACTACTTTTGAAACCATATTGTTAACAAGAGAGGGTTCCGTAATTAAAATTGCATCAACAGTTATCTACTTAAAGGAAAAAGAGGTAATAATAAACTGGGGCAAAATTCATTAATCCCAAAAAGCAAAATGTATAATGTCTGGATTTTCTGTATCAATAACTTTGCTCTCCTGGAACAGCATCGTGTCTGTTTCTTGAGCGAGCTCACGCGCACACGCACGCACACACACACACACACACACACACACACACACACACACACACACAC